TATGATTACACCTGTAGGCCAGATATATAAGGCCCTACTCTTTTAAAGAAGGAATGAATGAATATCCCCTGTTTTTCTCTTTCACTGCATCCCTCTTTTCCTACCTTCCCTTCTCTTCTTCCTCCCCATTTTCTGTTTCAGGAGGTTAAGCCACCCTCGAAGGGGCTTCCGAGGTGAGGGGTATCTCACCAATTTCCCTCTATTTCCTTTCTCAAAAGTGAAAATAAAAGAGAGAGGAAGAAGGATACATAGCAGAAGACATATATAGGAAGTACTCACAGAGAGGACTTTCTTTTTTCTACCTGTATTAGTGAGACTTTTCCTTCCTTGCCTTCCCTTGAGCACTTCTTTTCTTCTCTACTTATCTTTGCTTTTCTTAAGAATCTCTTGTGAAAATTTTCTCCGAAGAGTCTCTCTGTCTGTCTGTGCTTCTAGCTTCTCCTTAAGGAGCTTAAATAGGGAGTGGGGTAGTTATGTAACTACCTCCTCCTCCTAGGTGAAGGACACCTGTTCCTCCCACTTAAAGAGAGGGAACTCCCATACGGGATACTTTTTTATAGTTTTAATGATTTGGCTAGCAGACTAGCCAACCCACTTATTTGAGTTCTAATTTATTTAAATATTATTTGGATTATAAAAAAATGCCTTCAACAATTAGGCAATTAATTTTGACTGCAGTTCACTTTAATTCATTCATCTACCACAATTAGCAGCTAGAAACATGTTTTATGGAGATTAATTTCTAGAGGTTTTCATTAAAGGACTCACTTGACACATAATTAACTCATTTAATTAAATTTGTATTATAAGTAAATTAAAAGAATTTTATTTGTATTACCTTTTGTTTTTCTGTATAAAGTATTTTGTTCTTTGTATTGGTTTTAACAGGGGTATCAAATTGCTATGTATTTAAGAGCCGGTTACAAGAATATGCACAGAAGGCAGGAATTCCTACTCCTGTATATGAGACTACAAAGGAAGGTCCTTCCCATGAGCCCAGTTTTAGGTCTACAGTGATTGTAGACAATGTCAGATATGATTCTTTACCTGGATTTTTCAATCGGAAGGCAGCTGAGCAGTCAGCTGCTGAAATTGCTCTTATGGAGTTGGCAAAGTCAGGACACATGAAAGAATGCATCGCACATCCAGTGGTATGCCATTTTAGCTATTGTTGGACATTGCCAAATAATGCATGGATATCCCGTCATGATGAAACTGTTTGAATGACTATTTTATGTACAGAGAATGATACTGTTATTGTTATTTCATATTTATTGTTATGGTTTTGTTATTAACTGTCACTGTCTTTACATTTTTCCTTTTCTGGTTTCTATTATGTTAAAATTCTAATAAACTTTGGTGAACCCATTCCAAGCCCGATCTGAACTTTTGAACAGGTTGGGTTTGAGTTGAGGCCTTGAGTTGCCCAACCTAAGCCTGCCTGAATGTAAACGTTATTTGCATTTTCCTCTATTTCTCAACATAGGAAAACATCCATGATTGTCAAGACTAAAAAATATCTTGGATGCATGGGGGATCCTGTATCTCTGTGGTTGGAAACTCTCCTCGTACATGTGGTTGTAGTTTTCTTGAAAAAGGCTGGGAAGAAAACTCATTGCAAGGATTGCACAACCAAATTCTAGAAGCAACCAGTGTTTTAAAAGGCGCGCCTAGGCACATAGGCGAGGTGCATTTTGGGGTATGCACCTTTCCCAGGTCCTACGCAAAAGGCGCACGCCTGATGTGCCTTGTGCCTTATCCCAAGCATTCACCTTCTTAAAATTTTGCGCTTTTTGATAATGTTCATTCATTCATTGCAATAAAATATCTTCTTAAAAGGCAATGAAATTTATAAAATCATTATTTTTTATGTGAGAAATACGAATTTCAGACCCTAACATAGCTACTTGTTTGGGCTTGCCTTGAGGGGCGTAGTACAAAGGTGACTCATAGAATCAAGAATGCAATATGTTTTCCATCACATTAGCTGCTACTTGAAGCAATGCAATTATGGAAAAAAAGAGATTGTGGGTTTTACATGCTTGAAAATGCTTCATATGCTTTTATTTTTAAATTTTCATTTGAATACGCTTTACATGTTATGTTTATGTATTTTAAATTTAGATAATAGTTTTTTTTAAACATTTATTTTAAAATTTAAGTTTATATTTTTATTAAATTATGTTTAATATTTTTTGAATTTTGCATTTTTTAAATTTGTTTGGCATTTTTTTTAATTTTCAGACTTTTTTTTTATTTTTAGTTTTTTTTTTTTTTTAAATTTGCCTTGCTTAAAAAGGCGTGCACCTCGCCTTGCGCCTCAGGCGCAAATTGGCTCTTATGCTTTTAAAACATTTGAAGCAACCTGATAGGTCGTCATATTTGTAATATATCTTTGATAACAATTTTTCCATTTTATCTGCTCGATTGGGTGCTGCTTCATAGCAGTTTTGTACAGCACAATTAGTGTTGGCCAAGCTTTTTAATCTAATTCTAAACCTAATAGTAGCAAATAGTTGATGGAATTGGAAATGCCCTGATTCGCACGACTTTTGCAAGTCATGACTGATGAAGCCTGAATATGGGAGGTGTAGAAGATGAGGTTTTGAAGAAAATGCAATCTGATATGAAGTGTAGTTTCATATCAGGCTGTGGCACTTTTTTTTTTGGATAGGAAACAAATAACTTTCATTGATAATAATAGTTAGAGTACAACTGTCACCACCTAAAAACTGGATGGGGAGCCCACAAACAAAGTCATTCTTACAAACAAGCCCAAAGCAATGCCTCCTTATTGACTCCTTGCTTAGCTAGAGCGTCAGCCATTCCATTTGTTGATCTTCTTGCCCATCTAAACTGCACCTCAAGCTCCCTTGCTAAGCTCAAAATTTCTTAGCGGTTGTCTGAAAAACCACATTCCCAAACTTATTGTTTGCATTCAACGTATTAGCACCATGGAATCTCCTTCCACTTCTAATTGTTGCATTTCTCATTGTTTTGCTGGTTTGAGACCTTGGAGTAAGGCATTTACTTTTGCCATTAAAGAATCTCTCACCCCTATTGGGCCTGAGTGAAGGGCCAGCTCTCCTCTCCTCATTTTGAAAGACTCTTAGTTTTTGCGGGGTCTGGGTTACCTAGAGAGCTGCCATCAAAGTTCAATTTCACTCTAAAAAGTGGCAGTGGGGACTAGACCTGTTCATGGTCTGGGTTGGGTTCGGGCTGGGCTGTCTCTGTGTTAACAGAATATATCAGTTCCGAGACTAAGCCCGACCCAACCATCGGGCCTAGGTCTTGAGCCTGAGCCTAACCCTTATATAAAGCCCGAAGCCCGGACCCGAGCCCAAGCCCATTTAGAAAATTGGAAAAAGATTTTTTTCTTTTTTTATTCAATAAAAACTGTTTTATTTATACTAAAAGACCTCAAAACCTAAAAAATAATGAAACATCTCACTATTACTTAAAAAAGAGATGAATAATAAAGAAGAAAATATATTATATATATTCTTTATTATATAAAATATACTTTTATTGTATAATACATTATCAAGTTGGGCTCGGGCTTTTTTGAGAAAGCCTGAGATTGGCTTGAAAAAAGGTCGGGCCTGGTGTTTTAGGCTTGAGCCCGAGCTCGTAGGCCTGAAATCCTGTCCAAGCCCGTCGGGCTACTCGGCTCATGAACAGGTCTAGTGGGGCCAACTTTCCTGAAACTATAGGAGAAGAGGAAGAGGAACCAACTATAGCACTCCAGCCTCTAATTAAGTCAGCATAAGAATAGTCCTTGTAAAATTCGAAAGCTTTCAGCAAATGTATAACCCTGATGGTAATGCCCTCAACAAGTGCTTCCTTAAATCTTTCTTGCCCTTGGATAATCCTATTATTGCTCTCCTCCCAAATTGATCAAAAGACAACTGCTCTTGTTGTTTTCCACATCACCCTACCTCTCTTCTTTGGTTGTTGGAAGAAGCTAGAGTCAAAAAGGTTATCTACACATGAGGGAGGAATCCACCTGCAACCAAAGAGAGAGGAGAACCAATCCCAAATATAAGAAACAAAAGGACATGGGGTTAATAGATGAGTCACTGTGTCACCACTCAAGCAAAGGCTATAGACATGTTGGGAAAGAACCAATGTGGCCTTTTTACTTTGAAGCACGTCCATAGTATTGTTCTTTTGGAGAACCACTTCCTAACAGAATGCCCTAACCTTTGGTGGAATAGGAGTAAACTGCACTTCTTTGGCAGGGAAAGAAATAGGCACAATAGCAGAATGAAATAAAGCATTGAAAAATGAAAAGCAAGAGAAGAAACTTGAAGAGGACTCTAACCAAATTCTATTATCCGGGTTAGACTGATTTAGGACTTGAGAACAACTCATCTGCAAAAGCCACTTGTGAGTCCCTCAACCCTCTCCTTAGGCCCAAATCCCATGAACCCTCAGACACTCGAAAGGAGGAAATAACCTTGAATTTATTTAAAGAAAGAGAGTACATAAACGGGAACCTATCCTTAAGGGGAGTGTTTCCAACCCAAATATCCTCCCAAAACAAAATTTTGTTACTTGAGCAAGCATCATACCTGATGAAAGGTTGAAAAGCAGGTATGACTCCAACAATGGCTTTCCAAGGGGAATAGTGAGAAGCCCTGGGGTCAATACACATCCCATCCATTCGCTGCCAACTTCCCACTTCACTAGATGGCCCTTCTTTTGAATCTCCCAGTTCCCAAAGAAAATCTCTCATAAGCTTCTCAAATCTCAATTTGATTTGCAACATTGATAGGAAGCTTGAAGGTGGACAAAAAAATACACTGGTAGGTTGTGGCATTTGATTTAGAAAGCAACAGTACAAGAGGAGTTTATTCCACCTAGGAAACAGAATCAAACTTAATTTTCATGGCAGCTTCTTTGGAAACCCAGGTCCTTCAGCTATAGGAATCCTCAGAGATTGTAGGGGCATGGTTGTGGCACTTTGTTCTGGCCCAATTGGGGTTTCAGATTCACTACTAGCAGAACTCTCTGCCCTTCTGCAAAGATTAAAGATAGCAAAGCTTTTGAGCTCGAGACTTTTATAAGTAGAAGGTGACTCCTCACTGGTGATAGGTTGGATGGCTAACAACAGTGATGGACCTTGGCTCTACAGAACAAATAAAGGAAGTAAGAAGGCTACCAGGTGAGGCTGACACTAAATTTAAATGGATCAAGTGATCAACAGGTAAGCAAATACAATAGCAGGTACATTGGCAAAGCAAGGAGTGCATATGGAACAGTTGTTTTGGGCTAACCTAATCTCTTAATGGGGCTTGGCTTGATTTAGGAGCCTTATACTTTTCCTTTTTTTGCATCAAGTAATTGAAATTATGGTTATCTGTTCAAGAAAAGCAAGACAGTAGTTTCTATTCTCATTGCTCTAGCAAGAGTAAAAAGGTACCTACCAAGAAATTGCAGACCAGAAGTTTTGGATTTAAAAAAAGCTGTTTTTCTTTATTGTTCCTTCAAACAAACTCCAATTACTTGGTTAAAGAGGACCAAGAATTGCATGCATAAGATTTGCCTAAGACTCTATTTACTAATAAAAAAAATGCATGCCCCTTGTAAGAAGCAAATAATAATACTAGTAGAAGTACATTGGATCAACTGTACCATGGCCTATGGGTGGATGTGACTTGTCTTATTGCACTTCTGTGTTGTGTTTTTTGCTATTTTGTGTTCTCCTTTTCTTTTCCATTGTATCTTTCTCCTTTCTATCTTTAATAAAATTCTTTCAGTTCTGTTAAGTGTCAACAGCCAAAGAAAAATTGACAGCCACTTGTGTGTTCATGATATGTTCTATCGTGATTGTTTCATATTTCCATCATGTGTCTTGTACTTATCTGCATGGGATCTCCTCCCAACAAAATATCTGCATGCACCCTTAAAGCACTCGCATCCACCTGCACCTTGGGAAATCTCCCCATGAATTTAATGCACATGTTCGGGAGATATTCCCAATGTGCGGGTGGATGCCAGTGCTTTCAGAAAGCATGCAGAGTTTAGTGGGGAGGGAATCTGAGCTCTCTAGTATGAGTTGCTCTACATTGCCTCTTTTCAGTTTATTGTCTTGAGCCTTCTACTAGTTAAGTTACTGTTGTTCCATGATTCTTTAGGGACTAGTCATCTAACACGAACTAAGGCTGATTTGTCTTGAATCTGTTTTTCTTAAAGCTTTCTTTCTATGATTTTCTGTTACCATCATTTAGTGTAACTTGCTTGCTTGTTCATGAATTTCATAATACATAACATAGAACCAAACTCTGTTATGATTTTGTGGTACTGATCTTCTAATGTTATACAGAATTCCAATATATTTCACATTCTTCTAGTGTTACCTGCCATACTGGAATTGTTTTACAAAATAGGTTTAATAGATTGTCATCATTTGTTACCTTAAATGCTTATATTTTTATTTTTTTGGGTGTGTGCATTTTCTAGCATGAGACAGGTTTGTGCAAAAATTTACTCCAGGAATATGCGCAAAAGATGAACTATGCAATCCCATCATATATCTGTCACAAGGATGACACACCAGGCAAAATGCCATTCTCTTGTACTGTTGAGATCGGAGGGATTCAATACATTGGAGCAGCAGCTAAAACCAAAAAGGAAGCAGAAATCAAAGCTGCAAGAACCGCTCTTCTTGCAATCCAGGCTGCAGGTGGAACTGATGTCCAATCCAATGGCAACTCTCAGTACACAGTTGTCCCATGCAAAAAGAAAGGGACTGAGTTGGATGCTGCAAAAGATGAAGCTGCAAAGGCTCTAAAACCAAAGAAGGTTCGTTTCAAAAAGAAATGGCCGAAAAAGAGATTCCCGAGAAACAAGAGTGATCAGAAAACTGAACAGGCAGTTGAGAATGCAGCTGAAGTCCAAGTAACTACCATAATGTCAGATATCAACAAGGATGGCCAAGATCTACAACATTCGGGATCAACACTAAACCAAAACAATGCATTCAGGCTTCAAGTTGAAGATCTCAAAATATTGGCAGTGAAAGTCAATGAGAAGCTACAAAACGGGATAGATCAAAAAAATGAGCTCAAGGTAGATGGTATAACTGAAGTCCAAGTAGATATTGTAATGTCAGATGTGAACAAAGATTGTCATGATGTGAAACATTTGGGAGGAACACTAAACCAAAATGATGCACCTATGGTTCTAGTTGAAGACCATGAAAAGTTGGCTGAGGACTTGTATTCTAACCAAAATGAAGAGTATGTTCCTGAAGTTAAAGTAGGTAGCATAATGTCAGATGTGAATAATGATGATCAAGATTTGCAACATTCTGGATTAACAGTCAACAAAATTGATGCACCTAACCAAGATACAGGGCATGGGGACTTGCATTCTAACCAAGATGAGCAAGTGTCTGTACTGCAATGTGTATCTGGAGTCCAAGTTGGAGAAATAAAAGTGCCGGTTGCAGTTGATACAGAGATGAAAGAGGACTTGTATTTTCATCAAGATGCAGGGCATGGGGACTTGCATTCTAACCAAGATGAGCAAGTGTCTGTAATGCAATGTGTATCTGAAGCCCAAGTTGGAGAAATAAAAGTGCCGTTTGCAGTTGATACAGAGATGAAAGAAGACTTGTATTTTCTTCAAGATGCAGGGCATGGGGACTTGCATTCTAACCAAGATGAGCAAGTGTCTGTACTGCAATGTGAATCTGAAGTCCAAGTTGGGGAAATAAAGGTTCCGGTTGCAGTTGATACGGAGGTGAAAGAGGACTTGTATTTTCACCAAAATGAAGAGCATGTGCCTGAAGTCCAAGTAGGCATGATAAAGTTGGATGTGAACAATGATGATCAAAATATGCAACATTTGGGATTAGTATTCAACCAAAATGATGCACCTGGGTTTCAAGTTGAAGACCCTGAAATGTTGAAAATTGAAGTGAATAAAAATCTCCGAGATGCAGTGCATGGGGACATTTGTTCTAACCACAATGAGCAAGAAGCTTCTGTAGTGCAAAGTGAATGTGAAGTCCAAGTTGGAGAAACAAAAATGCCGGTTGCAGATACTGAAGTGAGCAAGAACTTGTATTCTAATCAAAATGAGCAAGATATTTCTGTTGTGCAAGGTGAAGCTGAAGTCCAGGCTGGAGAAAAAGAAATGGTGGTTGCAGATACAACTGGCAATTCTCAAGAGGGTCAGACAGTGGATCTGAATTTGTGCCAAAATGAGCAAGGAAATTCTGATGTTAGAATTTCCTTGGAGGATCATTTAGTTTCAAATGGAGCAAAAGTAGTCCAGTGTGAGCACAAAGAGTAGAATTAGAGGTTCAGTCCTCTCAATTCAGATGCACATCAGCTGAGATGGAATTTTCACTGTACTGGAAGAGAAGGCTGATTTGGCCACGGCATAGATAATTAGATTATCCATTTAAAAGGTTGGTGTCACATGGGGTTCTCCAGATAGCCTCAAACTACTAATGGAGTAATGGTGCAGCAAAGCAGTATTTATATCCAGAATCTTCATATGTTTTCATTCCAAAAGGAGTAGTCCACTGAACACAGCGTGGACCTAGTGGTGGATAGTTCTTTTTTTTTCTTTAATTGCAAATCATACACCTCACTAACCCATGTCCTATGTGTCTTTAAGGTGCAATGATATTGTTGATGAATAATGTTAAATCTAATCCTCTTCTTCTACTGGCCGTCCATCTACTGAGGCTTTTCCTTGGGTATAATTTTGGGACTCAAAATTGGAATTTGAATTTGTATTGGTCAAGATACGGGGGCACCATATATACTGATGAATGTGGGCCCTCAGGATACTAGTGTAAAGTCTTCCAGTCTATAAATTCCATTTATAATCCTTCGCTTGTAATTGCAGGTGGAGCCGTGGAGGTAGGAACCTAACTCCTAAAAAGCCCGTCAGTCCTCAGCCAGTCACTGGGAAACCTTTTTTATCCTGTGATTGATTACTGGATTGGTAAATAATTGAATTCCAAAAGTGATAAAAATTGGTTCAATGAAAAAGTTCTGAAAGAACTGGAGCCGGTAAAAGAATACTTGGTTAAGTTGGCGACGAGATGACCATTACTTGTTTTGTAATAAGGGTAAATTGCTGAAATGTCCTAAAGTTTTTAATGGTTGCTGAAACCTTCCCAAAAGTTTAATAATTGTAATCATCTTCCGAACTTTTTGACACAGTTGCAAGTGGAGTCAAGTGGATTCTCTTTGTTAGAAACTTTTAATAAGCATGAAAAATGTTCAAAATACTCGTGCAGTTACTTTTGATCAAAATGTTTATTTTTTAAATTTTTTCTTCATATCAATCGCTATCTCAACCTTTCCAATCTCCTTTGAAGTGCTTATTCCAAATTTGTCCTTCATATTTCATCACTCAAAGGTAAAGCTGCAACTTTAAACATTTATTCTTTTGTCTATAAAGTTTGAATTGTTTTTTTTTTTTTTTTTTTTGGTTTTTGGTAGAAACTAGCCTCAATAGTCAATAACTACATAGGTATTTTGGATTTCATTGCCTCTTGTTATAGGATTCTAACAGGGGGTCTACTTGCAAGTTGCAACTGTATCAGAAAGTTTATGAGAGGTGATTATAATTAATACAATGGTCAGAAACTTTAGGAGAGGTTTCGCCAATTTACCCTTTTAATAATTAATACAAATATTACCATAATACTAAATGGAAGAACAGCTGCACCTAATCCAGCATGACTGATTAGATGAATTAAAACAAAGTTTGGCTTGAGATAACAAGGATGGATTTATCAAGTACATGTATCCAATGTATTTATAAACATGTACTTTTCCATATCCATGTCCACAAATCCACTTTTATCATCTTACCAGTCAAACATAAGCCAGATTCTGATTCTGGTGTCCATGCCCAAAAACTTTGGCTGTTGGGGGCCAACACCGTTTTTTGGTTAACCCATTCATGCCCATGTTTATCTTCTGGTCAAAAGAAAATAGGGGCAATTACTAGTTTACCCTACTCTCATGGTAACATGACATTTCCATTAATGTTCTCAACAGCATAGGTTATTGGCCTATAACAGCCAAAGTTTTCGCGCATGGGGATAACTTTGGTTGTTGGGGGCCAGCGGCCTATGCTGTTGAGAGCAGTTTTGGTAATGCCACGTTACCACGAGAATGGGGTAAAATAGAAATTGCTCTTCTTATGACAAAAAGGATGGACATGAATGGGTTTAACATGTCTAGCCAAGAAACACTCTCAACAGTATAGGCTGTTAGCCCCTAACAATCAAAGTTATCCCCATCCTAGGGGATGGTACATGTTTGCAAATAGGTGTTAAGAATTACTGTATCCTATTGAATCTATACAGGCGGCAACTGGGTCCAGTAGTTATCGATTGGTTGGGTCTAGTCCAGGTCAGGGTAGACCCAGTCCCAACCCAATGAGCAAATGTACAGAACCGGTTGGTTTGGTTCAGAATGGTCCAAACTAGGGGTTTTAGTTGGACCAGATTTGGTCCAATCCAATCCAGTGTAATATGAATTCAATGGACCAGGTCCTCTAATCCAATGTATACTTTGGGTCAATTTTCTGGACTGTCCAGTCTATTCAAATTGGTTTTAATTTAGATTGGTTCCAAGTTTCCAACCCAAACCTGGTCCATTTGTATACCTGTATTATTATCTTCTATCAATGGATCAGATATTGGTTCAATCTGACCCAATCCATTATAAATCCATTATGGATGCACCAGGTCCATTCCAATCCAATAAATACTTTGGACCATAAAGTTTGGACTGGTCCAATTCAATATGTTTTATTGGTCCATCCAATCTGTCCAAATTGATTTTGATTTGGGTGGGGTCCTACAAAAAACAGGTCCATTAACACCCCTAACCCAAACCAATCCCTTCCAATAATCATTTGTTCCACAACCCATTGAATAGCCATCGCGTTCAGCTAATCTGAATTCCAAAGCTACATATAGAAGCCGGACACTTAAAAGACATCACCTAGCTTGTATCGAAATCAATGCTAACCCAAGATGTGCCACAAATATTTTTACTTGGATCATGCGATACTAAATTGAGAAAGAATGATGTTGCAGGTTACAACTCAATTGAAGGCCTCACAAGTAAGGGTGCAACTTGGGCAGGTTAGATTTGAGATTTTATTAAAATTTGAATGAACCTAGGCCAAAAGTCTAAGCATAAAGTAGCGTAAAGGCCCCGTTCGCTTTTTGGTAAATTACTTACCAGGTAAATGAAATTATCTGGGTAAGTTTTTCCCGGGAAACACTTACCCGAGTAAGTGCATTTGCCCATGTTCTTTTATTTCCCAAGTAAATAAGGCAATAACCATTTTAGCCAAAGAAATTCATTATTAAAATGGGCATTTTTGTCCCATTCAAGTGTTAGTAATTTTCCCCTTATGTGGGGAGGCTACTTACCCACCTAGAAGATGGGTATCACTTTCCTGAGTAAATGATATCCAAGAAAATAAACTTTCCTTGGTCCCTACATAAAGCTGAAAAAAGAACACGGGATTCTTGGTTAATGGGAACCAAAATCCTACCAACTTTAACTACCAGACGTCCATCGGAATGGGCACGATGTAAGCTATTTGTCCTAGCATTTCTCACGCAACCATGAATAACAAAGAGGTCCCAACCTACCTATGACCCACTCAAAAAAAAAAAAAAAAGGAAATTGAAATAAAGTTCTTTATGTTGCATTTGGAAACAATGCAAATGGAGTGTAAACCGGTTCAGGGTAAATTTGCAATCTGATTCACTTTTGCCTGTATTTGGCAACGTTACATTTATGCATTGACAAATGATAGACCAATGCATATTTACATTGATAATAAGATGTAAAAGTACATCAATAAAAAAGAAGTAAATTTGCATTCAAGTGGACATTTGATAAAAAAATCATATGCTTTATTGAAATCTATATTTACATCCATTACAACTAAAAGTCTGCTTGATATGAAAGTAAATTTGTTAGTACAAAACTAACCCAACTTTACAATTATATGAACCGTTTTACACTCTACATATTTGCATTGTTTTCAAATGCAGCCTTAAGAATTTTTGTGAAATTTGTTTCTTGGTTTCATAGAAACCAAACATAGCCTCAAAGTACAAAAGGGCAGAAATGTAATCCAAGTCATGTGCATGTGTCTCCACTTTGACCTATGTTGCCCTACAGCTAGAGCCTGAAAGATGCCATTCCATGTATAAGAAAGAAACTTCACACCATGTGCCCGGGACACATGGACAAAAGGCCCTTTTAGCCCCACACTCATACCCGGGAAACCTTTTGCTGTCCAGAGAAAACAGCCAGACTATTTTGGGAGCCTAATACATTATCATGAGCTTCAGCAAAAAGTCTTATGTCATGCTACAAGCTGAAAAATCGACGAGATTGTTTTCTTCCAAATAGCTGAAGTTTTTCCCCATACCCTCCCTATATGAGCACCTAATGGTCCTTGCAAAAGGCTTTGCTTATAGGGTTGTAAATAGTATTGGTTTATCCAAATTTGAATTCAATTTTGGTGGTCGAAATTCAATTCATTTATAAGTCAATAAAAAATAGAATTCCTTATATATACTTTATGTTTATATTTATGTTCTACTTGATGAGGCCAATATGCGTGGCCCGGATCCGTGCTGCCATGTGTCCTAGAACGAATTAAAGAGCCCTCCGATGATCCAAATTGGTTAAGTTTCATACAATGCACAAGGCATGCTTAGAAAATGCAACACCCTCCAACCTCTTTGTTTTTTTGCTTTCTTTGCCAACTAACATTTTTTTGCTTGGTCTGAGATCTCTTGCTCACTTACTGACTCAAGCATTGGAGAGTTCACCTTGGAGACACACATTAGGACTCTCTACTCTTTTGCAGGTTTTAGAAAGTAACTTGGTTCATTCGCTCACCTAGGTCCATCCTCTTTCCTCTATATTTGTTATTGGATTTAGACTACAATAAATCGGTGCCGTTTATGGAAACCGACCAAGAAGTTGTACAACCATGCCTCTAAAAACAAGCACCAACAAATCCTCAATATAGGTCTCCATAGCCGTAGTGAACTGACTTGAAAACCAATTTCTCCCATCAAATCCTCAACAACCAGCTCGAGAGGTCCAACTTGCGACACTAGAACAAATTAAGAATCTCCAACATTGGGTTGATAAACAAACAAATTTAATGCAATCATATTGATAGTCGAACCGAGCAACCTTCCAAGAATAACCCTCACTGGTCCTGGTGCCTGAACTACCAGAACAAGCAATAGGGTCGGGACCCTAACTACTTGACCTCTTAGACTAACTACCTTAAAATCCAACCAAGACGATCTCCCTAGAATAACCATAATCCTTAAGCCTCAAGTAACCGAGCCCATCACTCAAAATCATAACGCAATCAATAATAAATTCTGTGGCCATAGAAGATCCCGTGACAATGACCTTGTCCAGATCTCGAAGGTTCCAAACCATAACTATTACACTCCCTTGAACATTTTGCGAAAGAAGATCTTTCTTCGAGTTTGAGATAATCCCTTCCTCAGGTGTGACAAGCTTAAATCCGATCGAGAAGATAAGAATAGATATTGCCACTGAGGTTGTGGGCATCACATTGATGACTACTGAAAACTAAAACTCAAGAACACAATTGAATACCTCATTTGGCGAGGGTACTTCAGAAGTTGCATCTCCCGTAAACGACACAAGAAAGGTAGGTCTAGAAAATGAGAATATGAACAAGACGACCGACCAACAATGAGCATTGGAGTTTACATCTCGAAAACTTGAAGAAGCCTTGGCTCAATAGTACTTATAACAAAATGTTGACCAGTTCTAGAAAACCTT